CAGCGTCAATACTTAATTGGATATTTCCTTCTATACTTTTTAGCACGTAGCTATTTATTATTAGCATTATTTTTCCGACTTTTTGAGGTACATAAACTTTTGGGATTGACTGTATAGCCAATACATCCTTAAAACGCAAGCAGTTGTCTGCATCGGTACTGGTCGTAAATATCGATTCGTTCGCACAGAAATTGGTTTGTTTCAGTCGGATGAGTCGACCTATGAGTTTCTTTTTATTACAAATAACAAATAAAACGGAGCCATTACAAATGCTGTTCCTCGCACAAATGCAAACATTTTTAGTAATGACTCCGGTTAAACTATCTTGTTGCTACATAAAATCCAGTTTCGAGGCGTTTGTTTATTGGCCTGGCTTCGTGAATTGGCCGTCCTGACGAGTTGGCAATAACGTTGTCTAGATGGATCTCCCACGTGTAATTCCCACGTACAGTATTTACATAAGTGATCATGAAGTTTTACAAGACTACTTTCATTTATATCGGTGTAACAACTCTTCTTACTGCTTGTTTCCGGTATTCCTAGACTCTCCAAATGGTACACTTCCGAAGTTTCGACAACACGAACTGCTGTTACACTTGGCTGCTGTAGCTGAATGAAATATGTTAGAGAAAAAAATAGTTCGTGAAATAAAATAGAGATAGAATGAGATATAATTTTTCACAGTAGACGATGATCCATTTGTCAACTTGAGTACTTCTACTACAGACTTACAAACCGATACATTATGCTAATTAGTAAACTGCGGATATTTATGGAAATTTCTATTTTTATGAATGAAATTAAAAAAAACGAAATGCATGCAAGCATTTGTTTTCTCCTTTGAATATTATAAATTATATTCTACTTTGGATATTTTGTATTTCTTTACATATTACTGGATACTGTGCTGTTTTAAATTATTTAAAATTCATATAAATGCATAAATATCCGCAGTGTACTAATTAAGATTGCATGAGCTGTGAGATCTTTGCCAAAAGTTTGAGAAATGTGGTGAAAAGCTATGCCAGCCAACATTTGGAGCGATAAGCGTTTACAAAAAATATTTACTGATATTTATCTTTATGTATGTAAGGGTTCATACAACCTTAACTGTCTCGCATATTAGCGAAGGAAAATCTTTTCGTCTTTCATTAAAGCGGAAAATCTCGTATACTATACCTACGTGTGATGTACATGGTATAACGTATAATGTAGTCGTAGAGAAGCAACGAGTTTACGCGAACGAGAACTCCAACGTCGGCCGGTAATTAGGCCAGTAAAACAGGTCGATCGATTTTGTCCCGAAAAAGCTCGCGCTCCAAAAACCTATTTAAAGCCCGTCGGGAGAAGGAGACGAAGATAGAAGACTGGCGATACGCTGCATTACCGCTGCAGTGACTCAGCCTGCTTCTTTATATTCACCTCTACGGTTTGCCGCGTGTCTTTGAATTCCATAATAATCGTTCGCTCTGCGAAACTTGCGATTAGTCATCTGTTGGACGTTGTACTTCCGTCAATGACTGTTCCCATGTTTGCAAGCTGGATCTCGAATAAAGAAGAATGCGATGATAAATAGCAAATGAATTGTAAGAAAGTGAGAATTCGAAATCAATAACGCGTCTCGTTGCCTTTCTGAGGGATAGTGAAACAAATATTGAGTTGTCCGAAAAGTTCGTTCCAATTTTTATAGAAAATTTCAATACATTTTTCATGTACATTTATTGATTTATTAAGTTTCGTCTTTATTATACAAATAATTATTTAACTGTCATACATTTGCTCCTTTTATGGCGTTGCTACGCTTCTCATTAAGAATACGTGCCCACGAAATTAAGGATTTCATGATTTTCTTAGTAACTGTGAATAGAAATACAGACATGGGTTAATAGAAATAACAACACCGAGTTTTGGTTGAGTAGAAATACTGACATTAGAGGTTTGTATTTTAAGCCTTCATTAGAGATGCTCTGGCTTTCATTCTACAGGAAAAATACTTGCAAATGATTTTTTGGTTTGGAAAACCTGTGAAAATACTTTTCATTATAAGTTTCGACTTGTAAAATACATTGTTTTCTATGTTCAGTTGATAGCGAAATTATGCTTAGCTGGGTAGAAATTGGGACATTTACTTTATGCACGAGCAGGGTGAAATTAGAGAAAATCAGTAACGAGCTAGGCGACGCGGCGCGTGGTTACGCAATTTCCGGGAAGAAGCGATCATGGCTGTCCGGTTCTTCTTGAAACCGTTCGTCCTTGAGGCGCCCTTGGTACTGGCTATGGAAGCTAAATCGGCTCTGTGAGAAGTTGTCGGGCTTGGCAAGTGTAGGGCGTGGTCTATCGAGGCACCCGGTGACCTCCTAGCCAGCTGGTCGGCCATCTTTGAGCATCCAGTCGTCCGGGCGTGCGAGGGTGAAAGTTGGGGTGGGTTTTCGGCTATAGAGAATGGAAGCCGAGCAGGTCGTTTCGTGAAACCCCGGCTTCGTCAAAGGAGACGCCCTCTCCCACGCCTCGCAACACTTCCTTTTCTTCGCTCCCTCTCCTTCCCTCTATCCTCCAGATGTCTTCACTTTCGTTTTCCTTATTCCCCGTTCCTCCGTGTCTCCTCTGTTTTTAAAAAAACGCAAGAACGTACTTTGAAGAAATTTAGAAGTTTCGTTTGAACCGACGATGACCCAGATTGTATACATTGAAAGAATTCTTCATCCTTTGCACTTCACTGTGAGTGGAGAAGAAGCCGGTACAAAGATACACAAGTGCCAAAGGTCAGATCCGTATTATCCGATATTTTCCCATTTATACGATTTATATGGTTAATTAAATTTTATTAAGAAAAAGTTTAATCTCGCCGACAATAACTTGGTTATTAGCCTCGTGGGGTTTACTTTACATGGAATTGCAATCTAGTGGTAAGAGCGAAACCACCATACGATAATAAAACGACCATTGAAAATGCTCGACTACGTTAAAAGAGGATACAGATTACGAAGGTGTTAACCGTTGCGGTTACACAACTTGTTATCGAATTTCCGACGATAATCGTACCCTCTCCGTTCTTCTGTTTCTTCGCTCGTTCATTGTTTCCCGCTAACTGCCGGTCTACTTACACAGTTCTTATTCTACTGACGCATTTCCGGAAAACAACAACGAATCACGACAGTGAAATAATATAGTCACGGTCTTGAACTCACCGTGCCTGTAAAAACGTTGCCGAGGCACAAAAACCGAGGCGAGATGATAACAGAAAAAGTTCTGCAGACGTACGTAACGTGCAGCAATTATCAGCCAGTTCCTAGCACGCAATGACGATGACTACGTACTCCGTAATTTCCAAGTAAAATACTGCTTGCCTATTCGTAAGAGAATATTTCTAAGTTTAGAATTAATTGCGACAATTTTTAGAGAGGATACTTTTTTGGCTCAGCCGCGTAATATCAATTTTATAAATGCCCGATTAATATAATACAAGTTCCCAATGGAAAACGTTCATTTCGATAACTGGAATAGAAGTTTTACGTGGTTTCAATAATCAATAATCCACAATGGACTTACGACGCGTCTGTGCATAATTATGCCTTACTGACATTTTTTCCCATTCGGTCTTTCTATTTTGAACATCGAGAGAAGCGGGACTACATGCGTTTCTACTCTACTAACTAGGCAAACCTCAAGGTACCGATGATTCCGAATTAACTCCACCAAATTTAACTACCTTTAAAATTATTTCAAGCGGTTTGAGCCAAGGGAAACATATAAATAGTTGAGTTTTCTTCAAGGAGATCTACAAATGGTAAAAATACTAGATTTTCGATTAGCTGTGAATCTCAAGATCATCGGAAACTCGAAAGAAAGGGAAGTGGTGATAGATTTTCGTACAACTTCATGAAATGGCGGTACTGTTACAGCATAGTCGAGGGATCTCCGAAGCTTGCTTTTTGTTCTCTTTGGCTTGTTCAAGGCCTGGTTGCCTGGCCCCCCCACCTCTGGCCTCATGCTTATATCACATCACGGTTTCATTCTCCTCTCCCTTCTATGCGACTTTTCTACACTAGAGAAGACCTCGATCGTTCCCTCTTCCCCGTTTTCCCGTTCTCCCTTCTCTCCCATTTACTTTAATGCCCTGAACCTCTGTACCTAATGCCTAACGATAGCCATTAGACTGTTTCTTCAGTTCCCCGTGCAATTCGCTAAACAGCTGTAAGAAACAAATGTATGTACAAAAGGAATTGGAAAAGTTGCGCTGTTTTAAGGAGATACGAAGTGTCTTGAGGCCACCGCTAGCAGCGCCTGTTCCTCTTCATTCTCGACCCTTCTTCGTCGCCCCGCGCGTTTCCCCTCGCCACTCGTGATGATCCACGATCTTCACGGATACCCCTTCCTCTCCGTCGTTCAACCGTTTCGCAATGATGTCATCCCCAGCATTGGCGCAGACGTCGAGAATTATTTTCAAATGGCGGAAAGCAAAAAATGGAGATCCGAAACGTATCCGCGAATATAAAACTCTTAGCCCGCGCGCTGCCGCAATATAATTAAAGCCAGCCGGAATGCGTAAATGATGTAGCGTAAACTGAGCTTATACTTATTTAACGGATTAAATTGAAACCCGAGGAAGGCGGGTTAAGTCGCTTGGGTATCGCCGTGTTAAATTATTCGATACCTGCAAAAAGGTTTAACCTCTTTTCGAAGGAGCTAACAGGATTACTATAGGCAACGGTACACAAACGTTCGTTTTAACGAGAATGAAAGATTTTTCAACCTTCCTCCACGTTGACAGAGGAGATTAACTGAAAATAGAACTGAATTAGGATTCTCTAAAATGAACAAAAATGTGTTATGAAATTCCAGTGTTTATTCTTAACATTATTTTTACACGCACAGTGTACAGAGCCTCATCTCGCAACAGTTCATACATTTACTGCAAATACTATCGCTCACATTAATCATTTCTGCACAGTCGCATACATTAGCAACAGTTAACATACAAATTGAAGGTTGCCAGTGGAATAGACAAACTTAATTGCTTACAAAGACCTACGCAATCTGCATTGAACGAATTCATGAAGAACGTAAAACTAGCTGTTTTCGGAATTGCAGAGACGGATTAGCAAGTTTGAGCCATTTTAGCGACATCGATCGGAAACGTGTTTGCTCGGATTCACAGGTAAGCGCGCAGCACGCGATGAGCGATGGCAAGGCGGATTCGAGGCCAACGAGTAAAATTAGACAGCGCGTGAATGGAATCCGAGCCAATCGTGCAACCCCAAATGGAAATGGAAACGCATCGGTTACTCTACGAAAGATGGCCGCAATGCGGTGCCTTCTATAAAATGGCGATTGATGATCACCCGTTTGCTTTTTCCCCCAAAGACTTAACGTTCACAACCATTCCAGCTTTCCACATTGATTTCCCAATTTCTTTCACTACCCTTCGGGATAGACCAATAGGATCACCCTTCCGCTGCATAACCAATGTTCTATGTAAACTTCGAATTTGATGTGAAAAAAGAAAAACTTGAATTTTAATTTCTGATTTAAAAAAAAAAACCCGAGTTTGAGTACAATTACACGTTACGGTTGCTTGATGGTTGTACCGAGCGCAGTCGATGAACGGAGGTACCAAAAGGAAGAACAAATCTGTTAATATTACAAGACCGACACAAAGTATCGGGGATTACAATCTCGATAGCGGTGCGTACGAGTACGAAGTGGCACAAGGCAAGCCAGTCCCACTTCCCTTTCCTCTTTGCGTGTACGTGCGCACACGGCATATCTCGTTCCACCATCGTCTCCATTCTTCCCAAGGAGCGGTAACTTTCCAAACTTCTATAACTTTTACCGCCATTCGAAATTATCATCAATGATTTACGAGTGCTTGTCACGAAATCATATAACGAATGCCGTCTTCAAGGTAACATAGAAAAAGATGAACAATATTGGAACAAGAATTTCTTTTACTATTTACTGTTTGTCTAAAGAACAGTTATGCTCGGAATAGTACGAAGCACGTGAATCTATTTCGCGTAATGTTTAAAAAATGAACCTCTCGACGTTTGAGAACCAGTTTGTCAAGCAATGACTATGAAGCGTGGCGATAAAAGAGAAAAAAAAGAACGTTTCTGTGCACTTGTTACATGGAAAACGACAGCGTTGCGCTTTATTAGGAAAGAAAAAAAATACAAGTTCGTAATCACCGGCAGCAATCCGGTGCGCGGTGTACCAAGCCGACGGTATTTGCCAAGTTACGAAAGTAAGCGGTTTTAGAAAGTATAGACGGCTCGAGGTGAACGGCGCTCTAACGACCGGAGATCTTGCAATGGCAATTACGAAGTAGCTTTGCAACGACGTTCGAGACCGAGTTACTAAGCTACTAACGCAAGACAAGCTTCTTTGTTCGATGTAGCAGGTGCACCACGCGATTTACCACACGTTCTAACGATTATTCTTGTTAAAGACAATACAGGAACATATTCGAACTACGCGAAATACTTAAACAAGTTGATGAACGGAAAGAATGTTAAACATCGCGATCGATGATCAATCCCAAAAGAAATTCAGCCTCGATTTATTTTTGGAACAATATTTTTCGGTCGATGAGCACGAAAAATAATTTACACGTGACTTCGAGCGCGACCCGGAAAGCAGAAGGGTACTATTAGTTAAAAGACGATGCGAAGAATGGTCAGCACTCTTGCAGTGTTCTCCATGATCCCAGAGCTACTTAACGTTTTCAGATTACAGCTGGGGGAACACGGTCTTCACTGCTGAGCCGAAAAATTATACTAAAACAATTCTGTTGCACGAATTGGCCTTTGTTCTTCGAGTAATCGGAAGGCGTAAAGAAAAATGCGACGGTTGTATTTTCTCGCGAAAGCGGGTCGTGCTCGGTCTGCGCAGGAACAGAGACAGAGATGTGTCGTGAGGCCGATAGGAGAGAGAAAAAGACTGACTGTCGTAGTACAGAGCCAAGCCAGTTTCTCACCCCCACTGACCTAGCGACCGAGAAAAAGATCAAGGTGCGTTGCGTCGGATGATGGACGACGAGCCCGCCCCGAAGCAATGTTGCAAAAAAAAGCTGATTCTCTTCTTGTCTATCCTGGGCTCTGTAGAGGCGTTGCGTATCTTCCAACTGGCGTAACAAATGGTTAGATCACACACTGGCCCAGCGAGAACGGAGCCACGGTTTGATCACGTGACGTTAGGTTGCGTCACAGTTAACCCCTCTCACCACTCAACCAACGAACCAACCAAACGAGGAGACCGCCATCTTTATCCACTGAGAGACAAGAGGAACACGAACACGAGCACCGACGTACGAGCAACGTTTCATTCTTTTCTTTCCTCCTGTTTTCTGTTTTAGAGCACAAAAAGTAAACTCTTTGATTATCAGGTAAACATCCACGAGGCGAGTTTGATCTTCCCATATTTCTCTATATCTTTCTCTCTTCAGAGTCTTCGTGAAGATCCGCTCGTTCTCCATGTGCCGCGCTGGTACCTATCGTCTTTCACTGCACATATCGTTTGAATTCGAGCAATCGTTCCAGCGATTTATTTCACGCGGCAAAACGATTATTACATTTTTACAGACAAATAACAGAATCGCGAAATGGTAGAATATTGGGCTAACGGGAAACTATTAATTTCGACCAAACGTTTTAGAAAAGTTTGAAACACGCAGCAAATATTTATAAGACTGTTGCATAACACTTGTATTAAAAAATTATTTTTAAGTTAAAAGGAAAACTACAAAACGATACACAGCAATCGTTTCAAGATACTCGCGTGATACCACAGTTAACCAATCGGTGCTCGTTTTCGATCAAATTATGTACTCACTTGAGCATTTGCCCCGAATGAGCACTTTCCACTGGAATTAAGGAGCACCTTACATTAAAACGAGCTAGTAATCTAAATAACGCTCGTTCGGAGCGAATGCTCAAAGTGTATGCACAATTTCTATATTTTTAACTCCGGTCCCGATACCACGCCACGCACTTAAATCGCGGACCACGCCACGACGACACATTGGGAATCAGATGGATTCGCGACACGAGTCCTTTTTTCTATGCCACGATGTATGAAGTAATCGCGTGTTTCGGTGTTCCAAGAAGTAACACAGGCGGTAACGCGGTTCGAGTGGAACTGAGACGATGAAGATCGGAAACGAGAGTACCGAAACATCGTCGCCGTCGACGTTGAAAGAGAATGTGGTTAACACCACGATGGCGTACGAGCTTCTGGCAAACGACGGATGCTCTCTCCTCGGTATCGGGCGACTGTTGGAGAGGACTCGAGCGTGAAACACGACCGACTCCGGCGACGAGCAGCGACGAACGAGGATGCGCTCGAGCGCGTAGCCTGTGCCGCACTCTCAGCCCATCCCCACTACGAAGCATGATCGGCATCCGGTGGAAACTGTGGCGCGCATTCGCGAGCATTTCTGCTCGCCGATTGGCGCAGCCGTTGCTACTTGGCCACCCATTGGTCGGCCGCGCACCACGAATTCCCGCGGCGTTCACTTATCCATGGAACCCGCACAACCACATGCATGTAGGAAGCACACGAGGCCGTTCTCCATCTCATACAAACGATATTCAGGCGAGGACACCGCGCGCACATGCTTATTCACGTACTACATACATGCAAACACACGCGTGATGCTCGCGAGCTGTCGTTATACGCGGACGCGCGTGTTACACACGAGCACGTACGGTATTTTCGTGTGTGCGCGTGTGTCGGAAGATTCCACACGCCCGCGCTTCGCTACGGTCGTATGACGGTCGAACAGGAACTGGCTACAAGCGGCGCGGAAACGTGCTACTTATGCTACCGGTGGGAAGAAAACCGACGAATCAAGACAGCCTTTTATACCAGCCGTCTTTGGACTCGGTGCTACAGGTCCAAAGGGCCGTCGTGCTTATGCACAGTGTATACGATTCTCGAAGGCGAACACTGGAGCCCGACGCCCAAGCCGAACCTCTGTTTTGCTGCTATGCGCAAAACCATGATAAATATGTACATCTGCAAGCGTGGCCGCGACTTTTATATGTTTCCTTAGTCGCGAACACTACCACGCTCTGTACGAAAATAATCGGGCTACCTGCTATCGCTACTGAAAGCGTTGCCGAACCTTTTGACCCATTTTTCTATCGATCCACCACCTTTCGCATATAGGGCGCCGCGGTGGCCTGCGACCATCAAGATTCATCTCTCCAGATACTTACTCCAACTTCTGCGCTGACCTCGTACTTCAAATCGAATACGCTCGCGTTTTTTCTCATAAATTTGTCGCGAAACGCTCGAATACTGTATTAAAGCTCGCACACGAACTCCAGCGATTGGTGTACGTAACGATTGGACATACATACATGTATGTATATACTCGCACGATCTTTCACGTTACGTAAGGGTGTGAATACGAACATTCACTCCGAATGAGCGCCGTTTTATTCACGCATACATTCACTTTGATGTCAATATGTATACACGTTTGACGGCCCTCGTTCGCAGCAAATGCTCAAATGAATATGTAAGCGCACACCCCTGATTGTAAAAGCAGCCTCGCACTGGCGAGTTTCTGGCACGTTACTAGTGGGAATACGAAATGAATTAATCGATCAATTAATTTCAGAGGAGGCGGGAAGATCGAGAAGAATGCGCGAATCGAAACAATCGCCACGATCGTGACTTTAAAACGCGATAAAACGGTGCCGCGCGTATAGCGGTTAGTCGATTAAACGAAGCTCGCGTGCACGGGTAAAGGGGGAGGTGGTGGAACATTGGAACTCGACTTGGTCGTCCTATTTCTACGCTCGGGAAAGTTCGTGGAGCGGGCCGATCGCGTACGAAGCAACGGGGATATAAGTAGGTCGTTTCAAGACGCACGTGTCGTCCTTGACTCACATAGCGTGGCGCGCAGGCGCTTACCGTTGCCGCATTGCTGGTCGCTAGGGCTCTTTCTTTGTTCGTAGCGCGCGCGCGCCCGCCTCTGATCTACGTACATGTACGAACGCACACACATACGCGCGCGCGCGCGCGCGCGTTTCCACTCAACGAGCACGGTACGCGTGTGTGCGTGATCAATGCTCGCACGCACCTCTCTTTGCACTCTGCGAAATGAGCCTAGCGGTCGCACGTAATCCATCTATCGCGCCCAATGTTCTCTGCACGATCGACTCTACTCTACTATATTACTTCGACTGTGCGGCTTAACCGTTTCCGGTTGTATTTGTTACACGCCAAACCTGTTCGAAGAGAAAAAAAAGACGTTAATGACGATCATTGCGATGAATACGCTAAAGCATCCTAACTTTTATTTCAAACGCGTATGCGATGACGAAGTCACAGCAGCAAATATGTAATGGGTCATGTCGTTCAATGTGTAAATAGATAGAGCGACGTTTTCAAGTTAATGCTCATGTCTGGGTGAATACACACTCTTAAACTTTCTATTCTTCTTACGTAACGTCAGAGGTCTCGCATATTTCGATGTTAGAGAGTGGCTTCATAAAAAATTTAGAAATCGAGACCATCATCACGAGGGATCCCCTGTCCCGGTGAGAAAATTATATACCTACACGAACAGTTCCCAAGTAGAGGATTCATAAAGAACGATCTCGAAATAGTTCTGATCAAAGGATGTATAAAAACATTGGAGCGAACTGACGTTTGACGATTGACTTTTTCATATACTTCAACATGTATGATTTATGTAAGAAAATTAATAACAGCGTAAAAATTAGTTTTGCAACCGCTGTACGTACATAGAAGATTCCGCGGATGGACGCGCGATACCGCGTGAGATCTAGACAATGGGAAGGCGATGTATTGTGCAACTCTCAAGGAGAATGAGCAGTGGAATATACACATCGATACACAGACTGCAACACACGCGTGTCGTGCGTTCCTGCGTATTCGGCGACATAATCGACAGAGAGAAAGATGGAGATAAAGATAGAGATAGGAAGACAGAGAGGGGGAGAGAAAGACAGAGAAAGGTCATCGGGGATTGCAGTTTCGCTTCCTCTTCCTCGTTGCGATTGCAAGCGGCGAAGCGGGTATCCGAAATTGTGGATGAGTGACGCAATGTGCAGCTGTATACATATACTTATGCACGTACGAATTCGTGCACGTTCAGGGATACGCGTTTGTTTGCGAGCCTGTATTTAGATAAAATGTTGGATATGCCGGCGGAAGCATGGTACTGCACGACACCGGGCCACCTTTCCCTGCAATCGAGGATTCGCATTGTCGATTCGCGTGCTACGAGCTTATGTAAAAAGATGAACGAAATAAAGGAACCGTGATTCTGTGGGCGAAAGAGTACTAGCAGAATTTGGAAAAAATACTGCAAAACGACTTGCCTCTTGTGTCACGAACTTTCACGTAGACCGGAGACTGCCCTGAAAACTTTCCTCTTACTTTAAATTTCGGCAAGCTCCGAACGCGTACGAGTAGAATATGCAGCACACGTTATTAACTGCATGCCCATTAATGCAACTCGCGAGTTAACATTCTACGTTCACTCTTTCTCCGAAATTGCACAACCGTTTACAGAGAATTCTAGCTTAGTCCATAAGCAAGCATCGAGGTTGACGAGATTTCGCCGCGTTTCGACGTTACGTTGTATATTACAGAGAGCTAAGGATAGTTCACGAGGAGACTTTGTACGAGAAGTCGGTATTTCTCGTTGGCTTTGGCATCGTGAGTATTGATCGCAGCGAGAACTCAAAGGGGAGGCCACCATGTTAGGCTATTCGAACCCCAATTGGATCGACCTACCTCGTGGCAGAGAACGGAAAGGGGCCAGACTCGTCCTATTTCTTGATTTATCAGTTTTTATCAAGCACATACTTACATTTTAATTTAACTTTCTATTTAAAAGACTGCACATACTCGTGTCGCTTCGAATCTGGAATCTCATAATATAAAATACATATGTCGATACAATTATATGTACATATTTAATGATCGAAGAGTTTTAAGCTCACGAAGTCGGATGTTTCATACGTCACGATTTAATATTTCTCGGGCTCTAAAGAAACAAATTACCAGAAACCTTGGGCGTTAATTTCCAAGAACTGGGATACAATAGCAGTGACCCACATTTTTCGTGTAATTTCTGACGTCGCTTTCAACCGCGCTATGGGAATAATTGACGCGCGAATTCGCGGCACTGCTCGTTAAATGGTAGACAAGCTGTCGTGCAGGCAGTAGTTGCATAACGCGATTCTTTATAATAACGCTACACAGTCTTTATAATGAAGCAGCCACGGCGAGATAAACACGAAGACGGAAAAATGAAAGATTAATCTGTATTTATAAGCATAGACTTACGTACTTACGCTGTGCTACGTAGTCTACAGTTCTACAGTTTGTATGCGAAATTATGCTCGAACGAGATGAAGATATAACTGATAATATTCTGAAGTCCGACTTAAAATTTAATGTATGTAATATATTTAAATGTTTCTAAATCTGTGCTAAGCATAAGATGGGGCAACAAAGTTCAGAATACCGATACACTGCGATGGTCAATAAAGTTCAGCGAAGTCGCGTCGCGGAATACCACTCGGATTTAAGCGCATACTATCCTGTCGTTCGAGGTAGCTTGCATGCTAGCGTTCTTCAGATAAGCACGTTCTTATCTACGTACTTACGTAAGCAACGGCTCGTGTATAAGCCTTCGCTCGACTTCGCACCCCTTTTCCTTTCCTTTCAGTCGCTTGCAAATTTTTTCTCCTTCGTTTCTTTCACGCTTTATTTTTTCCTGTTTACTCCTTTTCCACATTTCTCGGTTGCATTCCGTTCCAGAATCGTATTTCACTTTAAAATGTGGTTTTCCATCCTGCCGTTCCTTCACCCTCGCACTCTTCCTTTTTCTTCTATTCCCCGTTCGAGTTTCGCCGTTAACGTTTCTATCCATTCGGTTATTTTCTGTTTCGCATGATTTACCGACGACGAAAATTCGTATCGCCAACCATTATTGGATTCGTTAATAAAACTGGACCAAAATAATCGGAGGGAATAGAAGTATGGACAGCGCAATAAATTCAGTGCATCGTGCATCAAGATATGTGTGTAGTCACGTGGACTCGACGCGTGCAGGAAACAGTCAAAAGATACGAGAGGCCTGATATTACTGAAACAGTAAACTGTAATATCTCTTGACACGGACAGTCCTATCATGATTTATGTGTCGTACTGCATGATGACAACGAAGAAAAAAATCTGGAGTATTTCGTGATCACAGACGTATCATTCTTTCAATCTATAATCATCTAATCGTGTGCCTGTCTAAGACCGCAAGTTTTTAATGCTGGGCTAGCAAAGTAACTACAATTTCAATACTTCTCAGGCAGAGT